GACTCAGTCATTTAAAATTGTGACTGACTGGTCAGTAACTTTTTGTCTGTCAGTAATTACTGAATAATGACTCAGTCATTTATACTGATTTAGGAAAAAAGCGGAGAACGTTTTGAAAGCCCTGAGTTATTGCAAAACTATCAGTTATGAAGCAATAATGCTTTCATAACTGATAGTTATGAAAGCATTATTGCTTCATAACTGATAGTTTTGCTTCATAACTGATAGTTATGAAAGCATTATTGCTTTCATAACTATCAGTTAAGAAAAAAAAAACTTATGCGTATAAAATTGCGTTAATAATATTTAAAAAAACCAATTGGTGTTTTAAAATACAAGATGCAAATACAGTTTAGTTTTCACCTAATTTTAAGATTTTTTTTTAAGTTGTTATATAAAAACCCATCTTGCCCGATTCGCCATGTTGCCCCGCTTTCCTCTATATATTTTACAAAGTTTAAAGGAAACCATTATACAGTTTAGTAATAAAAAAAAAGTTTAATAAAGTGTTTGTTGAAAATTTATTTAAGGAGAAAAAGTAATCCGTTCTATATTATTATGAGTGACATAAGACGTTTTTTAATTTCAACCAAGAAGCGCAAGATCGATGATTTAAATAATGGTTTACGTACAACTGCAGATCCTATCCCGAGTACTTGCACAAGCCACGATCAAACTAGCATTGGATCAGAAAGTACCACTGATGAAACTTTGTTGGATGTCAATCCCATTCACCTCGATATCGGGTTGTACACAAACACAAACTGTCATACTGATAAAAAACTTTGTCTGAAGTTGCTGGAGGAATGTTGGACTCCTAATCAAACATATGATTTTAAGAAAAATGCAAACCCTGAAGCTAAACGTCTCTTAAGATTGGAATGGCTCCAGATATATCTGCGGTTAGCATATTTAGCCAGTGCAAGTGGAGTTTTTTGTCGAGTTTGCATCTTATTTTGTCCTCCAGTTCAACGTGGCATGCAACAATGTATCCTTTCCCCGTGTCTTAATATTTACAAATTTCATGAAGTTGCACAATTTCACGCCAAGACCCAATGGTACATCAATGCAATAGCTTCTTTCATCCAGTTTCAGAATATAATGAAAAAACAACAACTCAGTATTCATGAAATTATGGATTTAGCATGCCACAGAAAAATTGAAAAAAATAGAGACAAGCTTCGGTAAATTACTTCAACAGTTTTATTAACTTGCTCAGCATGAACATCCTCTTCGGGGAAAAAATGATCAAGTTTCTGTCTTAACAGATATGTTGCATTTTCGAATTGAATCAGATAACCAAGTTTTAAAAAATCATTTGGAATCTGGACCAAAAAATGCGTTGTACATATCTCATCAGATTCAAAATGCTGATCCAAACCTGTGCAGATATTCTCAAAGAACAGATAATCTGCGAGGTTAAAAAAGCATACGTTTTTTCTGTGTTGGCTGATGAGACTGCAGATATTAGTGGAATAGAACAACAATCCAATGGTGTGCGGTTTTTGTGTTGCGATGAAGGCACGGGGCAGTTGACAGTGTGCGAAAAATTTCTGGGTTATACTCCGCTGACCAAATTGGATGCAGTGTCTATTTCAGAAGCAATCCTTCAGTTTCTGAATGATTGTAATTTAGATTTGTCGCGACTTGTAGGTCAATGTTATAACGATTGCTCTATGACGGCAGGTAAAAAAGATGGTGTTCAGAAGCTTATCAGAGACAAGCACCCTAAGGCTTTGTATTTTCTTTGTGCCAGTCATATATTGAATCTCGTCATTAATGACTTGAACAATGTCAAAGAAGTTCAATATGCCAGTGGCACAACTAAGGAAGTAATCAACTTTTTTAGAGAGAGCACCTAACGACGATCTTTGATTCCTAATATTCCTCTGTTTTGCAAAACAGGTTTGTTCGGCAAAGTATAAAAGTATCAGAATATTTTCTTAGAACTTTTTGGTAATTGTCCTAGCGCTAGAAAAGCTTACAGAGGACTGTGCGAACAAAAACACAAAGGTTAAGGCTCATTTGCTGTTCACTGCTTTCACAACTCCAACTTACATTTTGACGCTTTTAGTAATTGCTACTTATTCGGCTAAACTTGAACCTGTTTGCAACCAGTTGCAGCAAGTAAATATGAACATTAAAGATGTAACTGCTCATATGATTCAATTAACAGATGTCCTGCGATCCCATCGAGGCAATGTTTCTGAAGAGTTTTCATTAATTTTCAAAAAAGCACAATAGATTTGTGAAGAATTAAACATTAGCCACGGTTAAATAAAACGCAAGTTCACAGATCGAATTTACCTTCTGAAAACACAGAAGAATATTTTAGGAGATGCATTTTCATCTCTTATTTGGATTCTATAATATCTTATCTACAATTTTTCTTTTTTTTTATAGCTTAAATTGTTCTTTTTACATTTTATTATTTAAATTGTTCTTTTATATTTAATACATATTGATAAAATTGGTTTTGTTAATTATGAGATATTTTAGTTTTTTCTTAAGGGTAATAAGATTATCCAGTTTAGTAAGTTCTATATTTTGAGGTATTATTTTGTTGTATAAATAGGGGCCACGGTATACAGTTGAAAATCTCGAAAAATTTGTTTTTTTTATGGGCAACGTAAAGTTTCCGGTTCCTCGTGTGATATATCTGTTGTCGTTGGTTTGAAAAAAGCTATTAGTAAAATGAGTTGGGACAAGTCCGAGATTATATTTGAGCATAAATAAAATATTTTGGTAGATGTTAATTTGATAGATATTTAAAGCATTCAAGTTTTTAAGTAAAGGATCGACATGAGTGAATTTATTTTTATTATAAATTAATCTAGATGCGTGTTTTTGGTGTATATATAGAGGACTTAATTTAGATTTATTTGTCCTTCCCCAAGCAATATTAGCATAGGTTAGGTAACTTTGTATAAAAAAAAATAGAGAATTTTTAGATTCTCCTGGAAAAGTATAGGTTTGACTTTGTAAAGTATACGGATACTTTTTGATATTTTTGTATTTAGTGTTTTTATATGGGCTTTCCAAGAAATCGTTTTGTCGATAATTATCCCAAGAAATTTGATAGTTTCAGTTCTTTCAATGTTTATGTTATCAATTTTTCATAATAGTAAAATGTTTGGTCTTTTATTTTTTTGCTGATTTGAATGAAACAAGATGTATTTTGTTTTTTCTGTATTTATTGATAATTTATTTACTTTAAACCAAATGTTTAGACTCTCAAGGTCATCGTTTGCAGATTCAAAGAGATTTTCAATTGATGGTGATGAATAAAATAAATTTGTATCATCAGCAAACATTATTTGTCGAGTTTTTTTAGTGATTGTGGAAGATCGTTTATATAGATTAAAAATAAAAGAGGACCAAGAATGGAACCTTGGGGAACTCCGCATTTTATTTTTAAGAAATTAGAATATTTATTATCGTTTGAAATAACTCATTGTTGTCTGTTGCACAGATAACGTTTAAGCCAATCCAAGCTAGTATTCTTTATTCCGTATATTTCCAATTTTTTTAGTAAGATATCATTATTAATTGTGTCAAATGCTTTAGAAAGGTCTATAAAAGTTCCTAATACAAATTGCTTTTTATTAAAAGAATCACTTATGCTATTAACTAAATCTAAAATTGCATGTTCTGTTGAGTGCTGTGCTTGAAAGCCGAATTGTTTTTTATTTAAGAATTTGTTTTGAACTAGGTATTTATATAATCTATTGTAGATTATTCGTTCAAGTATTTTAGAAAAGGTTGGAAGTATTGAGATTGGTCTGTAATTGTTTATTAGAAATGTTTCGAACTCGGTATTTTTCTACACAAGAGAAAGCATTTTAACTTTTACAACTTCACCCAAAAAAGAAATGAGTAAATTGGACAAGTCATCGTTTTTAACAGTTCTGGAAGACATTAGCAGTCTGTATGGTGATATTCTTCCAAACTTTATATCTAACGCTACATCATGGTATGAGATGTGGAAAAATAAAAACATTGCAAACGAAATTACCAATTGCATGAGTTTAATTAAAGAGGCTACAAAATTTTATCCAGCTGTTTCTGAGGCACTCAAGATTGGCATGACACTTCCTGCAACAACCAGCAGTATTGAAAAAATCTTTTAGCACATTACGGCGCGTCAAAACTTGGAACCGATCTACAATGAGTGACGATAGACTAAGTGGATTATGTATGCTTAGTGTATACAAAAAAAAAAAAATAATTGTCCAAATTTTATCGACAAAGTTGTAGACAAGTTTTGACAACAAAAAAGAAGGCTTGAATTGCTCTTTTAGAAACAAAGTGAATGACTAATTATGTATAGTTGTAAGTTGTAAAATATAAATGTCTAATTGTAATTTAAAAATTTAAAATAAAAACTATTTTTTCGCGTTTTTTCTTATTATTGAAAGATTTTTTTTTTTCTCCATTTCCATTTTTTTTCAAAAGCTAGGGGTACACGTGCACCTACTTGCACCCCCCTGCCGGCGCCCATGGAATAATATTGAATACAACGTTTTGCCAATTAAAGTTTAAGGTTGAGTCAACATAAGTACAACGTTGGGCCAACGCATAAAATAAAGCGTTGAATTAACGTAGAAAATATAACCATTTTCCGACTTTAAATGTTTTATCAACATTGGTTTTTAGTTGTTGGCGACGTCGAATTTGTAACCATAATGATATAAAAACAACGTTGGCACCCGATGTTGGGCCAACGAAATGCGCGACATTGTTCTAATGTTTTAACAACGTATGTGTGCTAGCTGGGTTAGGGTAAGAAAATTCAAAAAGTTTGAAAACCGCGACAGCTTTTCACTAATTAATAATATAAAAATTAGTTGAGAAGCTATCAACTTGCAAATTTCATAATAGTTTAAAATATTGCATATGCTCTTTCCAGTTGGACATTAGTATCAGTTTAAAAAAAAATCAATTTAGCTGGAATGTTTGCAACGTGATTGTAATATTTTAGAGAAATAATACTACAAATATAATACTAAAGGAAGTTGTATTAACAGCCACTTGAAAATAAAATTTTTAATTAAACATTTTAAACAATATTTCTTATTTAAAAAAACATACAAGAACTAACTTGATTTTCAAAAATACCAAATAACTTAGTTTCATTTTTGATCTGATAATCAATTAAGTTTTTAACATTTGAATAATGTTTTTCCTGTTCTTTAAAGCAGCGCTTATCCCAACTCCAATCATAGTATTCAAATGCATACAATGATTTTTGTAAAGAGCTACTTGAGAATTCAGCGCAATAAATATTTGGACACCATTCAATACCGAATGCCCTGCACATACCTTCCTTTATTCTTTCATTAAACATAACAATAGAATCTTTAGCCATAGGATCAACTACCTTGTACGGAATAAGATGTCTGGAATGAATCGCAACTCTTGGAAAAGGAACTTTTTCCGATTCTGGAAAGTCATTTTTAATGCTATTATCAGGATGCATTTGAATTCGAAAAGAGTATTCATCTCGATGGAATCGATAGATATAATTACACATAACGGCAAACTGACATAAACAACCATCAGTTCCGCCTCCAACTCTTAAAACAGCCTCACCAAATACTTCCGAAAAATTTTTTCCGTGTAGTTTTTCGATATGCGCACGCATTAAAACTAAATGAGCTACTTTTATTGTCACTGGAAAATAAGACATGCATATCATAAGCTGCTTTACTTTTAGCATAAACTCTGTACACGAAGCATAATAAACGTTTCCTGCAATACCTATAACAATTGGTTTATTCCCTTCAAACAAGCTCTGAGGAGTAACTGGTGTTATAAAAAGAGTGTCAGTATCAACAAAGCCTATAAATTCGGCTTCTGTATACAAATCTGGAAAAAAAGCGTCATAGTACATTCTAAATCGGTCCGAGTTCTTCTTATCGCCAATTGCTATTGCTGTCGGTTTTTCGATATAAGCGACTTTAGGAAAAGGCCACATAGATGCTATTTGATTTCCGAGTATACGATCACCAGGTACTTCTGCATTTAAAACTATCGTTAAATTATAAAGTTCTTGAGGCCAAAACAGTTTCAAGCTTTTTAAAAACCACCTTTGGTAGGTCCAAAACCATCTAGGTTCAATACTTGTTAGTCTGAGATTTAGTTCAAAACTTGGCAAAGAATCCCACGGCGTTTTTGTAGTTCGGAATTTCAAAAATTTACTTTGATTATCGTTAAAGCTGATTGGAAAAGAATTTAACTGATTGTTAGTAACAAATTTTGAAAGATGGTTGTAAAAAACTGTAAAGCTGTTATTACTTGAACCTTTTAAACCTTTAGTATTTTCAAAATATTTTTCACTCTTGTAATACTCAAGTGTACATAATAATAGACTGCATATAGTTGCCATAAAAAACAAAATACAACACATGTTTTTCCAATTAGACCAAAAAGCTCCATGGTTTATTAATTTCGTATTCATGTTAGTCTAAATATAATATTTACAAAACTAAATAATTTGAAAAATAAATATTAAAATAAGATTCACATTCTAATTAGTTTAGAGCGCGACTGTTTTGATTATTGTTTGATTAATAATTTAATTTTATTTAAGTTAATTAATTATTATGCATTTTGTGTTAAGTAATTTAAAACAATAAAATGGAAAGCATTTTTTTGACAAATATTGACGAGATTGGTCAATATTTGTCAAAAATATGACGAGATTGTTTCATCATAGAGTCGAATTAGTGGTTTTGGTATAAAATAAATATTGTAAATAAAAACCGTTTCATTAAATAGTAAACGTTGATAACAGCAGATTCTAAATTATCAAAAAATGATTTAAATTTCATAATATATCATGCACCAAAATAAAAGGGCCAACATGTGACACACTTTCGTTTTAAAAACTTGTTAAAAACTATATTATAATATTCAAAGAGTTTAACTCATTTATGTCATCAAATCAAGTTCCCGGTGGGAAATGAGCTAGCGACTAGCGAGCGATTAGCTAGCTTTATAGCGATTTTGTAGCGATTTTTTTTTTCTAATTGTTTTTTTTCCTAATGTCATTAACATCTTTAAAAATTTGATTTTTAGTGTTGAGTCTATTATAATTATGAGAATAATTAAACTTTAAACTTTGCGATTTTGTAGCAATATGTCGCTAGCTACATATCGTAGCTTTGTAGCTAGCTACAAAATATATACAAATCTATAACAGGTTGATAGCTGCATATTAAAATTTTTTAAACAGCGATTTTATTACGATATGACGCTAGCTACAAAAGCCAGCGAGTCTTTAGCTTATTAAGCTAGCTGTCTTCGTAGCCATATTGCTGTCTTTGTCTTTACAAATATCGATAGCTTTTTGCTAACTTAAGAAAGCTGCCGATCCTCGTGGCCAAATCGCTGTCTTTATCGTTACGATTACAGCTAGATATTCGCTTGCCGATTTCATACCGGGTTACGTTGTTTGTCACATGAATAATCACTTTTGCTTTATTGATCATTAGCAGAAAAGCGGGTAGCCCTGGCAAATTGATGTACATCTTAAACTAATGAAGCAATTTGATCAAAGTTATAAACATTTGTTATTCTTCGGTTTCCTGGTTCAAGTATTCCGGCGCTCCTGTCTCCGTGATACCTGCAAATGATAAAATCGCTTAAAAATATTATTCAATGCATAAATTGAATTATTTTATTCTGGAAATAGATGTGGTATTTTCAATAAATTGTTTTACCGTTGTTATTTGGTAAGATCTTTTTAAGAGAATTTCAAAAAAATTTTGCAGTTGTTTTCAGGGCCGTCCGAAAGAGATCTTAAAGGGGAGAAGGAAAGTGGGTGACGTATGTGTTTTTTGCTGACTGGCGACTAAAAATGCAACAAAAAAAGTCCTTCTTTGCTACCATTTGTTGACTGCCTAATAAAGTTAGAAATTTGCCATTTTTTTAAATAATTTTTTTTAACATTTGCTATTTTTTTAAATAATTTTTTTTTGTAGAGTGTTACCCCCCCCCCTCCTTTCCTCTTCCTAGGGACGACCCTGGTTATTTTGTAGCGCAAGTTAAACAAGACATGAAAAAGTTTTGTTATTTTAAAAATTTTATTAAAAAGCTGAACATTTCTAAATAAAATATGAACGAATATTAGATTTTAAGTTTTTACGTTTAAAATTTTGACTAAAGATGATTATTAAAACGCATTTTAATTTTGAATTTGTGTAAGAAGTCCTTTACTTGCGCCATTCTAAATTTAACTACTAAATACAACTCTCAAAGTTTTAAATACTTAAATAATTTACCAAAGGTACGCTGTTTATTCGTTGCAATTCTAAAAGGTTTATTTTTTTTAAACTATGGTTAGTCTATTCGCACACACACATTGAACTATATCTTATTCGTTAGAAAAAAAACTTACAGTTAAATTTTTTTATTTAACAATTAAAAATTTTATTAAACAAAAAATAATAATTTATAATTTATCATTATAATGATAAATTATATATTTTTTTTACAATTACTCTTGTTGATGTAATTACACTCCACTGCGTTTATCTCTAAATACTACGTTTTAATTATTTAAGTGATAAAAAGTTTTGGTAATTTGAAACGTTATTATAGCGAAGCTCTGATGTAAAATTTGAAGTAAAAGAAAGAAAATTAAAATCAGATCGTACCGTACGAAATTATTGAAATTTGATATTTGCCATTATATTGAAAAAGATTTCTCACGCCTACAGTCAATAAATAGCGCCCGAATTTATTTAATTTATTAATGACCTAATTTAAGTTTTACTTTTGTTCCCTGAGACACATAAACAGCCAAATTTCTATTAAGGGGTCGTTCATAAATTAGTACGCCTGAATTACAACCACCCCCTCCCTCCCCGCGCATTTTGCCATACACTTTTTTAAGTACCCTCCACTTCCCTAAAAGTACATACGCTTTTACCTACCTACCCAATATTTTATATTTTTTTTACATTAGTGTCTCCGTACTTTTATAATTTCATATATGCTATTTGAAGACCCCCTCTCCCCGTTCCGAACGTAGGTACTTTATGGACGATCCATAACTGACAGCTCAACAGTATTTTTACTAACAGAAATGTCAACTAATTTTTAGAAGTTTCCTTAAAAAATCGTACAATTAGTACACATTTATTTTTCTAAAAAGGTCATTTCTTCTCAAGACAGTATATTGTTTTTGTCATTCGTAGGATTCGTCATCGTTAGTGTCTGAGTTGTTTCCTGAGTCGCAAGACGAGGGTTTTGCCTGGCAATCAGGAAATGAAATAATGAACTGACTGGACTCCTTTATTGTTTTACACAGATGCACTGGTACGTATTTCGTAGTGGTGTACAACAACTTTTTGCCACTTCAGACTTGATTTTTATATAGCTTATCTTCATACTCTCAATTTGTACAAGTGTCAAATACACCAGCAAAATTTATTTTATAATTTTTCTGACCAGGGTGCTTTATAAAGGTGCTAGATACTAAATTTTCCATTTTTCTCATAATAAACTTCAATTTTATGACATAAAAATTTAATTTTCTAATCCACAAAGACTCCAATTCTTCCGCGATCATTTTAAATGTTTTTGAACACAGTAATTTTCCGAAGATGCTTCTATACATGGGGGTACTTTTCCACGGTTGAATGTCTTTATCAAGTTTTACTAGATTATTGGTGCACGAACAAGAAATTTTTTTAATATTGGTTTTTGATCTCTTGAAAGCCATTGAAATTCTGTACATACAAAAAAGTTTATTTTTTGTTCCCAGGCCACCACCATCCCAATTTTTTGTAAAGCCTCTTAATTTGATATAGGTATAAACATACTTTTGTTTTATATATATATATATATATATATATATATATATATATATATATATATATATATATATATATATATATATATATATATATATATATATATATATGTATATATATATATATATATATATGCAATAAAATAATGTTTAAGTACTTTGTTGCTAATCAGTTGTACAAAATGTTTTTAAAGTACCAAGGTTTAATTGTCATTGACTAATTTTTACATACCTACCAGCATTCTTGTTCATACTATATGGTATGAATAAGGATGATAGTAGGTATGTAAAACCTAGACAATGGCAAGGTGTGTACGCATATGAAAAAGAACCTAATTATAAAAAAGAAACCTAGCTTACACAACAAACTAAAAAACAAGCTAAAGATTAATTAAAAACTTCTAATATACTTCTTTTTTTTTTTTTTTTTTGTATGTATTTAGGTGCTCCCAGACGTCCTTATGGTCTTATCATAGAGCACCGCGGGGGAGCATTTAATAGGAAGTTCACGCCTCCTTCCGTACCAATGTCGCTTGTTGGGCTGGAGCTGGCGTCGAACCTCGGACCTCTGGGTTCTGAGCCAGAACTTTAATCACTGTGCCACGGCTGCTCAATATACTTCTAATATTCTAATATATAGGGTAGGGTGGGATAATGTTGGTCTACGGGGTAATGTGGGTCTAATCAACATTTATCAATTTTTCAAAAAAAAGGCTATAGATAGCTTTTTTTTCTCTGTATATTATAGGTGATTAAAACAGCTTTCTAAAGCCTAGTTTTCAGCTTACTAGACAAATTCTTAAGTATATTTTGTATTCAAAATGGCGCATGCATTTAAGAAGAGATTTTTATCGAAAAGCTTAAACTTCAAAAAAAAGATATTAAAAATGATAAAAAATGTGTTATCTGGAAAAAAAATTACCAGATATTATGTTCAACTAGACGGAAAGATGCATAATTTTTTTTGAAATAAGCAACATTGCTGAGTGGGATAATGTGGGTCTATATGTCAATGTGTTTTGTGCCGTTAAAAATCTAATGCTTATAAATACCTTTATTTAAATACATTTTTAGTTTATTTATTATTTATCTATATATATAATTAGCTTTAAAATAAAAACTAGTATATATATATATATATATATATATATATATATATATATATATATATATATATATATATATATATATATATATACATATATATATATATATATATATATATATATATATATATATATATATATATATATATACATATATATATATATATATATATATATATATATATATATATATATATATATATATATATATATATATATATATATATATATATATGTATATATATATATATATATATATATATATATATATATATATATATATATATATATATATATATATATATATATATATATATATATATATATACATATATATATATATATATATATTAATGTCTGACTATGTTTCTGGATTCATTTTTCTAGAGACATGCTGCTAAGGATTCATTTAAGATGATCGTCTAGCTTGTTCTATTTCAATAAAGATATCAATATATTATTTCAAACAGTAAAGAAAGAACTAGACAAACTAACCCAATGTTTTAAATCAAACAAACTATCTTAAAATATTACTAAAACAAAATACACTTCATTCTATCGTCTACATAAAAAATCAGATATTCCCTTAGAACTTCCGGACCTTTTTATTGATAAAAAATTAACAGAGAGCAATCAATAAATTTTTTAGGCGTGCTTCTAGGCGTAAATGTAATCTGGAAGGAAAATATAGGAGTAGTTGAAGATAAAATATCGAAAAATTTAGGTATAATGTACAAAGTTAAGCAGTTATTTAATCTTGTTTTAAAAAACATTTACTTTTCTTTTATTCATTGCTAGTTAAGTTATGCGAACATTGCTTGGTGAAAAACTAACGCGAAAAAATAAAAAAATTGTAAAAAAAATAAAAAAGAGTAAACAAGAACAGACTATAAGGATAATTTCAAACGTAGATCGTTTTTCACTCACAAACACTGTTTAATAAACTTAATATCCTAAATGTATATAAACTAAAATTAGAATATTTTTTAAAAAAACTATGCTGGATTCAAAATTTTTTCTAATAAACAATTTTTAGGGATCACTACTCATGATCCACATAGATATTTGGGCATCTAAAATTTTTTCTTAAAAACACAGGTTTAAAAGAGTAGCAAAGGTGTTCATATTATCCAGATCACTAGGTAATATGAACACTTTAAATTAGCTCAAAGTAACGAAACTCTAGATTAGCAAAACTTTTACATTTCGCAGGTGGGTGGGACAAAAACGGGAGCGATAAAAAGCAGCAGTTATTCGTAAACTGTAAAGCTTTAAAAATGATGAAAAATGAAGGCTATCGTCTAAATATGTTCAGACATTAAACTCTCAAAAAAGTAACATACCTATAGAAACTACATGCCCTTACACCATTACAGACACGAAAAAAAAACACAGCTAAAATAAAAAATTTTTTTTGTGTTTTATTATAACATACCTCCGCTCTACTCTAGCCTACATATTATTAAATTGGTAACTACTACTAAATTTGAAATTAAGCAAAAAATTTTATGGATCACATAAATCACACAAATTTATTAAACTTTTTTTGATGTAGTTTACTAAAAATGATGTCGAATTATGATTTTAAGGTGTTTTGCTAATATTTTTTTCAAAATCAAAAGTATAATTTTGATTTTGAGAAAAAAATATTAACAAAACATCTTAAAATCATAATTAGACATCATTTTTAATAAACTACATCAAAAAAAGTTTATACATAATTTTTAAAGTTAAATGACAATTATTATTATTAAATGCTTTAATGGGTTATCTCTAATACGAATAATATATAAATATAAACATAAAACATCAGGTTGAAAGTTAATCTAGGCCTTTTTTCAGCTATAGTTGAAAAATGGCCTAGATTACCCTACCCTACCGTACTTCTTATAAGCTAAAAATTAGTTTTCTTAGCAGTACAATGACTTTTAACGTCTAAGATTAAAAAATGGCTCAAATAATTATTATTAATAGAATAAATACGTCAACTTCGTCAACAAGATGTTTTATGTTTATATTTATATATTATACGTATTAGAAATGACCATTAACGAATTTAATAATAGTATAAATATGTTGCAATTAAGTCAATGAACAATCCAAATTTCTACAGTTTACAGCTAGAGGAAACGATGGAATTTCAGATATTACTGTTTTTTGCAATGGTTCATGGCAGAAACCCTGCATCTAAAAAGTTTGTATTTTTACGTAAACATAAGTATTATTCATTAAAAAAAGTAATTTTATATATAATTTACAATTTTTTTTAATATTCTACATATATTTTTATATAGCAAAAAAAAAAAAAAAAACACTTTGAACAAAAAACAGCTCCTTCACTTAAAAATATGTTTACTAGGCAAATTCTGTTCGTGGGACTTCTCAAAATGTCGCAGGAAAAATATTTATTGAAATTTAATAATTAATTAAAATATAAAAATTTATTAAAATATAATTTCAAAAATTATGCAAAATCAAAGATCAGTATTAAAGAAAACCAGCTGTCGGCCGCTAAACTCAACTCAACTGTCGGCTCGCTGAACTCAAAAGTAAACGAATAAAAATAATAATTTTTATTCATAAAATAACGACGATAAAAATTACAAACAACAACAACAACAACAATAATAATGACATTAATAAACAAATATAATTTGCGTTGTTATTAATAAAGAAAAAAATAAAATTAAAAATCATTTAGTATTTTTACAACTTTTTTTTTATTATTTAAAGGATTCAACTTTACTTGTATTTAAAATCTTTATTATAAAGTTTTACACTCGCAAAAACAAAAAATAAAATTCAAGTAACTTAACTTACGTATTCAGGAATATCTTCATAGAAGATTGTAAAGTAATTGAGTAAAATAAGACGCAAAAAGTAGAGCAATTAAACAGTAAATAATTGTTTTTGGTCATCTAAAGAACAATAAAAAGTGTTCAAAGACAAATTTACAATTATACCGCATTTTACGTACGCGTATATTGTTGTATTTTACATATGCTTATCGTATTTTACATACGCATCAAACTCTCGCCATAATAAAAAAAGTTTTTGGGCGAAAAAAAACGAACGGTGCATAATGAATTTGACTCACATGTATTATACGTAAATCCTATAAGGATGGTTAAGCGCCAAACTAGCCTATACAACAAAATCGAAAAAAGAATTTATATTACCTATATTAGCCTATACAACAATATACTATACTTAAAATATTTAAGTGCATCGAACAGCTAGGTTGTTTAGTGTAGCGGCTTTAGTTAATAATCTTTAAACTTTGCGTCCAATTATCTCATTTCAGAAACTGTGACTCGTGATAAAACGATTTCACGTAAACTGTGTAATTAAAATATACTTTGGAAATGACGATAATTAATATTATATTATGACGCAAAATATTAAATTGCTATGCCGTGTTGTATTTAACTTACAGATTCATTTGCTTGAAAGTCGACGCAATGCAAATTGTAAAGACATTTAAAAAGGAAATTTTTTTTAAATATTAATTATTTTATTTATTGAAAATGAATTTTATTTTCTAAACCAACATGCCACATACAGTCAAGACAATTAGTAAAAACAAACATTTTTTTTTAAATATAAAAAATAAGATGTGGCCTCTAGTGCTTTAGTAGGATTATTTAATTAAAACTTTTTGACTGCCTTAATACCACCCTTCAGGGTAATAATAATTTTTTTTTTTTCCTTTTTAGATTTGTGAGTTTTGTTTATTTAGAAAGAATTGAAATTACAGCACGCTCGGTGTAATTAAAATAGTTTTAAATTATTATTGCGTCTGTAAGATATTTTTCTGATCAATACATAATTCCATCAGCCGAATTCACTTCTCCCTGATAAACCCTGCGATAAGCTAACTGCTGGTAAAAGCGAAAAGGAAGTTTGGCGTTTTCTTATGTCCACCGTTTAGTTAAGGGGTCATCAATAGAGTACGTACGCAGGCATGAAAAGGATGGGGGTTTTTCCAAAAACGTACGGCGTACATAGAGGAAGAAGGGGGGGGGGGGGAGTTAGGAGGGTGCTAAAGACAGCGAGTACGTACGCGGTTTGACTATCTCTCCTAAACTTGATTTTTTTGAAAATAAAAGCATTCAGCGAAAAAAATCAATATTATGTTTTTCTGACTTTTTATATTTCTTTATAATAATAAATTTCTGACGTTTTTTATATTTCTTTTTAAATAATGAAGAGAGACGAGTTTTTTTATTTTTTCAATGTAATTTGATTTGCAAATTTTTTCTGAACTCTTTTTTTAATTACGCAACCTGGTTTTTACCATTTTTCTTAAAATATTACAAGTTAATTTTTTATTTTTAAATAATAATAAAATAAAAATTAAACTTACTCTGGCAATATCTTAGCAAATGCTTCTCCAGTGCGACTGCCATTGAAGTAAGTAGGGGAAGTTCGTGTACTTAAGGCCGAAATTTTTCAATGACCCAAATCAAGGCCCCGGGCTTGTCTAAAAATGGTGAAACTGATATGATCACATCTTTATACTAATTAGTTTGTTTTAATATAGATATAATGACTTAAAATATAAAAGTCCATCATGTAGAAGGGTTTATAAATTAGTGGCCCTAGGTAAAATTTAGCTTTTTTTAATTGCACCTAGGACCACCAGCTATTGTATCTAGGGCCGCTCTCTATAAATTAGGTTTAACTCCATAATCAATAGACTACAAAGATAGTCACTTAAATTTTATTAAAAATTTGTTTAATCTAGCAATGTTTTCAAAAAATTTATTAAATTTAATATAGAATCTTAAAATTTCCAACATTTAAAAATGTTAAATGTTGCTGGTTCCATTCAAATAAAAGATTTTTAAACAAGTTTTCTTTTTTTTGCCTTTTAAATTTTGTTGCACGTTGAAGTGCAATAGCGTTTATTTCTGGAGCGTCAGTGAGAATTCGACATTTACCCGGTTTTCTACCTTCTTTTTCAGATAAACGAGGTTTTGCTTTCGGAAAAGGACAAACCTGTTCTGGCGTTATACATGAAACAGATTTTGATAGAGAAAAGTGTATTTCCATTGCTGACAAATCGTTGCCTTGTACAGGAATATCATTGTTTAGTGAATTTTTTAATAAATCTTTAACTAACTCATTTTTTTTGTCAGAAATAGAATTATTTGGACAATTTAATGCTGGATCTTATCTGTCGGTTACACTTGAACTCAAATATTCGGCATCTGTAAATATGTTTTGATTAACTGGCCATACACCAGACACGAAAACCTGCTAGAATATTTAAAGGAGTAAAAGCCAAAGAATAAGATTTGCCAATGTTTTTTGCAACGTCATATATGGTGATTGGCTTTCTTGGATTTGACAGCATCCAATCACTACAAGCTGTGCTGTAGTATTTCTTTAAAGGTCCAAAAACACCTCTGTCTAATGGCTGAAACTTATGTGGAGGAAAGGTAAGCATTACTATACCATTTTTTTTTAGCCAAAGTAATCACTTCAATACTGACATGACTTTTATGGTTATCTAATAGTAATAATACTGGCTGATCTACAGAACATTTGATATGGTAAACAAAATGTTTCCAAAACTTTAAAAAATTTTCAGCATTCGACCATCTAAAATGACCATAATAAAATGTCGTGCTGCAGTCCTAACCGAAAATCCATCCTTCATTACTGTTTCTGCAGCATGAGTTACACTATCTGCATTAGGTTTTGATCGCTTTTTTCCATTATTATTCCTTGGCATCTGAAAAAATAGTTAAAAAAAATCTCAAATATTTTAAAAGTGAAATATAAACAAATTACACATTTTAAAATGTGTAAAGATAAATTTAATAAATACCAAGTAATTATCAAAGTAAACAAAATTATATACAAAATAAACAAAATATTTTGATCAAAATACCTGAATGCCTATGAATTTAAAAAGTAAATATGCAATATTAAAATAATAACAAAAAAAATACTACTACTACTACTACTACTACAATAACAGCAACTACTTCTACTACAAATACTACTAAAATATATAAATAAAATCACAGAGATTTAATGTAAATATATCAGAAGCAAAAGCATTTTAATTATGATTTGCCGTGGCAGCGCTCTCTGAGAATCAAAATAGGATTAAAAAATAATTTTTTTAAAACTAATCCTCTGACTGAGAAGCATAACTTAGAACTTTTTAGATTTCAAATAAAGTGGGGTGGCCCTAGGTACAAAGAGGCTCTAGGTACACGAACTTAACCTACGATTAACTTTCTCACTTAAAACTAAAAAACTTTGTAGACGAACAATTCTGATTGGCTAAGGCATTACCGAGAAAAAAAGCGGTAGTTTTTAAAAATAAGATGTTGATTTTCATTAAGTTTGGTACAGCAAAAAGATTAGGGTTTTTTGAAAAAATCTCGTTTTGTCTCGGAATAAAGCGAGATAAGATTTTTTATTCATCGTTATAACGAGATGGTAACATCGGTAAATTAAAAAGTAAGCAAATGTCTGCCGAAACGATAAATTGCTGCATTTCGTTTCGTCAATCTCGCTAAAATTTACCGTTTAGTTCCGAGATGCAAAAGCTTATTGATCACTATTTTTCAATATCCAAAATAAATTTTTAATACCAACTGTCAAAAATTTATAACAGCTCATTTTTCGGTATTTCTTAATGGAGTATCTATTCGCACGTTTTTCACTTGCAAAAAGACTATATTTAATTATAGTCTATTCGCACGTTTAATTAAAAAAGGTCATCGAATTTAAAGGGAATTTAAAAAATTAGATTTATTATTATTGCTTTTTAAATGTAAACTAGCGTAGTGAAGTACTAACACAGTAGTTACGTTGACTTTTCGCACCGTAGTGTATATACATATTGACTGCTTATCTAGCAATAGGTACACTGCAGTATAAATACAATGACATTGGTTTTTAGATTGGGCTGGCAATCTTTTAATTAAAAAAATAAGTATTTCTTAATGTTTATTTTATCTATTGGCACGTTTTTGTTTGTTTTTTGAATAAAAATTTAATTATGTTTAAGTAATTTTATTTATTTTTATTATAATTGATTAAAAAATTAAATTGCTTTCAAAATATACGACTTAAGTTATAAACATTTTTTGTTTGTGAGAGATTTCATATTAAAAATCTAAATAGATTTTTTTTTTTAAACGTGCGAATAAGCAATCATAAGAGATAGTTTATTCACACGTGCGTGCGAATAGACTCACCCATTTCTAAATTTAGATTTAACATCCAACAAGAAGAAAAGAGAAAATCTGGTACAAGTTAGGAGTCGAAAGAAAATCTCAGATTTTGAATCACAATGTTCATCCTTGATAATCGTACTCGACTCTGGTTTGTCTACCGTAACAAACGAACAAATGAACACTGTGAAAGAAACCATAAGAAAAGAAAAAAAAATATTGGAAAGGTAAGATAATTTATTAATATATAATTTCTTTATTAAATATTTTGTTTTAGAATGTCTGTCAGGTTTCTAGTAAATATCAAGAGATATATTATATAGAGCTTATTTGTGCATATAGAAAAGCGTCTTGGGCATAAGAATCAAACATTTTTAAAGGCAGAAACTTTCTTTTTGTCAATAATATTCTTTTTGTCAATAATAATTTCTAATTTGAAACAAGAATTTGCGTACTTTCTCTTTTGTCAAGTTTTTTTTAAGGGAATCAAAGATTTTCTGTCTTTTTTCGTTTTTAGATTGATTCGTGAATCAGACAAAAAATTAAAGAGAGTGATGAAACTGTGTGTCAGAACATCCCTGAAGCATCAAGTGCTTTGAAACAGTTTATTCGAAACCATCCCGGACGACCGCTTCTCGAAGTTGATCACCAGAGCTTTATCAACGATCATAAAAGTTGTGTAAAATTCATCAGCAGCTGAAGAACAGAA